GTGTATATAACCGTGTGTGTTTTGTTTGGCAGTACAACAACATCACCAGCATCACGGACGACACGTTCTGCAAGTCCAACAACACGCGGTACATCCGCACGCGGATGGACGAGATCAGGATGGAAGGCAATCCCATTGTCCTGGCCAAGCACGTCAATGCCTTCAACTGCCTGAGGATGCTGCCCGTGGGCACATACTACTAACCCCTGCTTCTGTCACTGCCCAGGCCAGAACTCACACATGGTAACAAAGCATCGTTTCTTCCTCCGTTTACTGTCCCTCACTCATGCTGTTTTCCCTGCATACCCAGAACCTGCCACGGCATTGAAGTGTGGGTCTGCTCTGAAATAACTATTTCTAAACATGTCACTTTATTCAGTAGTTATGGTGTCACTGCTTTCAGAATCTCTTCTGTTAATGAAAGCATAAAAGTACATATATGCACACACATCTCAACCTTTATTTCATCACGTACTCTTTTTGTGCAGGTAAAAATCACACAGTAACTGCTTGTTCACATTCTCTGCCAGCACTCAGAACAGTCACCACATTTTGCTTTCAGATAAAGGCAGAACACTTGGAGCAAGCTACACAGGAAAAACACTTCTTTTAATTCCAATGCCACTCTTTTAATCTAGAATGAAATCTCTTCAGCTGACCTTCAGAAGTGTATTGGATGAAGATGCATTCCAAAGAAAGTTATGTTTAGAAACAGAACTCCTCAAAGCTTAAATTCATTAAAGCTTCCTTAAAAACTTTGTGGAAAATGAGAATAATTCCTAATAAGTTTTAGTTCACCAAGCAATATAGCAACTGGAACTTTTCAAAGTTGTGTTAAATCTCCTTCTACTGTTTTGCTTTGAAAATCATCTAGGAATGTGTATGTATAAATACACAGGTTTTATTTTTACACAAGGTAAAGTTTTTGCTGAGCTGTCCTCACAAGAGTTGTTTTTTCAACACCAGTTTCCCATTTTAACACAATGGTCGAAGTCCAGCATCGTATGACTCAAATATCTCACCTGTCAATGAATGATTGGAAAACAAGCCTTGATCCACAGCTTTCCTTACAGGAACTGTGACAATGTCATTAACAGCAAGCTGAATTCGAGTTTTTTACCTCTAAGTAAGAATGATTTCAGCTAGGTGTCAGTGAGAAGAAACAGAATTACCCTTGTACAACTTCTGCTCGTTAGGGAAAAATTAAATCAGACTTTCAAATTAAAAAGAGAAGCTGATTCTATCATTAATCTAAAAAAAGAGAGTTAACTTCAAGCAACATTTCACTTTAAACCATGCAGTGTATTAAAAACACAAATTGAGTGTGCAGGCCTTGACAGTGAGTTTATCTAAAACTAGACATAATTGATATAGGAACACAATATTTTTCATTACACAATTATAAACTTCTGACATTGTTTCTCCCCTCAAATATCTACCACAGGTGTGAATGCCAAAGGTGTGCTAGTTCCTACTGCCACATCAACTCCAAGTTTGAAGCTAGTATAGATTCCTAATTTGTAGAAATAGTTAAGCATCAAATGCATGATGATGTATCAGTACATCTAGAATACTGATTGTACAAGATATTTTGTATTAGTTTTATTTATCTTATTTAGCTAAGCCTTGATTTGTTAGTGCTTGTGCTCTGGGGAATCGATGCCCACTTCATTCTGAACACTCTGATGTTCTGTCACTCAGTGCTGAGGCCCAAGAGACTTTCAGTCAGTTTTTAAGTAACTTGGTCAAGCACCAGCTGTGGGCTCACCTTTCTGGAGAGAGGATGCAGTCATGAAATGCAGCACAAAAAAATATATTTTTTGCCCTGAACCCACTACCCAAGAAAGGACACAGCAATCCCCAGGATTTTCCATTTTAAGTTACTCGGTAGAACAAGAAATTCCATTGCCTTAATACAGCCCAGACCAAAACTCAAGTCCGACAGTAATACTTGGTTTTAATTTTTCCAAGTAAGTCACAAAACTTTGATGTTTCCAGGTTTTTAGCAAAAGCTTAAAAATAAACTCCAAAGCATGTAAAAACACATTCCAGTTTCGAGCCAAATTTATACGGGGGAAAAACAAAAGCCACCAATTCTCTCATCCCTCTTACGACAAAAGCCTAAGATGGAGAAAACACAGCTGGGTGTTTCCTCTGAGTTACATAAGTAGTGGCCTCTGATCTTTTGCTCATCACAAATCACTATTACTAAAGGGAAAAAAAAGAAAAGCTCTTTCCAGTATTAATAGGATCAGTAAATATCACCAAAACTCCTCCTGTGAAAACAATTATATGTGTACACACAAACACATGCAGAGCTTTGTAATAGACACACACAAGCAAACATTCTGAGACCAAACACTGCCACATTGGACATCAAAATGTTGTATATATTTTTGAAACGTGCTAATTATCACCAGTAATGCTAATTAAGGCTCTTGATACTTTGTGAGCAAACCAAAAAGCAAACAACTCGTACCTTCTGAATGCCTCACACAGGCAATAAATCATCTGATGTGTTTTAATTTCCTTTCCCCATCCATAGCAGGGTAAATAATCAAAACAAGAAGTGAGAAGGGCTTCAGCAGGGAGGATTTTCACCTTCTGTTTTTGTGCCCAGTACTAATATCAAGCTGAATGTATCAAGCTGAATGTAAACCATTCTGGTTTTTTCCTATCACTCGTTTCTGTTCTGTATTTCCAATAAAACTTGAATTTTTTTCTTGTTTATCAGTATCAGCTTCAACAATCTGCTCTCCCAGCACTGCCAACCTGCCTCATTGTTCAGCCTCACAGCAGATGAAGATCAGAAAATTATTTGCAGCTGTAACTCCATTTGCAGAAATAATATTTATTGTGACAACACAGTGAGACTGCCATACAAATACTTCATTTACCCCTCCAAAATCTATTTAAAGCCCTACCTTGAATTGCCATTCATCTCAAACATTCAGTGGTATTAGAAGTATTCAATCACTTCTACATTATTGATGTCTTTTTAAGTATGAAAACTAACAGGAAAGAAAAAATTTGGTGTTTTTAACCCAAAAGCAAAGTATCAGAAACTGTCTATTTCTACTTGGCAGCCCGGGGAATTTTCTTTTAAATCTCAGAAAAGCTGTAAACCCAAGACTCCACCCCAAAGAGTGTCTCCAATGCAGTGCACATTTACCTACCTGTACATTTGCAGTAGACACAGCAGGTTGAGGGAGGTGGGTGGGGGGAAAACCCACCAGAAAACAATACAAAGATTACAGGCTCATTTTTAATGTTGTGGGAGTGTGAACATGAACAGCATAACACTTTTCAGTTGTTTTTATGCATATGGTAAAAACATACCTCTAGTTGCTTTCACACAAATTGTTACGGAATATTAAGTTACAAATACACAATCTGCTTATTTGAATTGTCAGAGCTGATCTTTGAAGCCTTTATTAACTCTCTTACCTGAGAATGTCTTCTGTTTCTAAATAAAATGATTATTAATGCTAGCAGAAATAAGAAGGCCTAAAAAAACCTCTTCATAAACACATAATCATTCTTGGTAAATATTCCCCCAAACTGCCTTTCTCAACAGCATCTTTGTCCATGGAAATAAAAATACCTTTCGAAAGAACATCTGTCATATTGACAAACTTGTAATATGTCTCGAGTGAAATTTATGTTCACACATCTTTTAGCAGTTAATAGATCCCTTCATTATTTACACTCAACATCTGAATAAATATTTTTAAAACCGCTTATATACACAACAATTTTCTGTGAGTAAAAATTATTTCAGAACCTACCTCCTTTCTTTTTTCCTTCTTTTTTTTTTAATTATTTTCATTTTATTTTTATTATTTTATCTTAAAATGAGAAATATTTCCAGGAGTTTACTGAATCACTGTCCCAGAAACCACAGTGACTGCTGTCAGGAGGCTCATCTAAGGATCAAAAAGCATCAAGTAAAGCTTGAAAAATAACAATCACAAAGCCATAAAGTCCTGGGTGCTCTACCTTTTCTATGGAGGGATTAAAGAAAAGCCTTTATTCAACAGCCAGCAGGATTAGACAATATCAGTTTATTGCTCAGCTGAGGACAGGATTATTTTTTAACATTATCAGAAAATAGTACTTTTTTTCCTCTATTCTGGTTGATTTGATACTAGAAATTGATTATTTGGCACAGAACTCAAAGGCCTAAAAGATTCAAAAAATAGGAAACAATGCAGTTCCCACTTCACACTCCAGCTAAAAAGTAAAAATGGAACTGTGTTCAATGAGAGTAAATGCTTGAGGTAAATAAAACTGAACTAAAAAACCACAAATAATTAAGCACATAAACATCCTCCTCTAACATTAAGCCCTGTGTAAGATGTTTTGTGTCTGTAAGACCGAAGTATTTTTACTCCAAGGATTAATTGTTTATCTTAAAACCAGTACAAAGCCAAACCAAACAAGGCAAATGCCGGCAATTGAAAACTAAGTCCAAGTACTACGTTCCAGTTCGGGGGGAGCAACAGTTGATTTCCCATGCAAGTAAAACACTTCTGAACTCAAAGCACTATCATCCAAACACAGGCTGCCACATCTTCAAGAGGAACAGATCCAGTCCTTCAAAACCAACCTTTACGTGCCAAAGACTACAAATGTTATTTTCTTTTCATTTCTTCTTTTGCGTTTTTTCCCCCCCCCCAATCAAAATAAAATTTAATACCAATGAAAAAGTGTGTTACTCCCTCAGAGAAAGGCACAGGCATTCCAATTTTTCCCCACCCACAAGGAACACAGCAATAGTAGGGTAACAATCAAGATAAAAAAACCCAAGCAAAGGCATCGCCCCTCAAACACAACACAATTTTTTTTTAGCTAATATTCTCGTCTCCCCAACACACAAATTTCAGATGCCCATAGTCTGCTAAAGAGTGCAAGTTTCACCTCCAATGCTTTGTCTTAATGAACCACAAAGAAACAAATGTGGTACTAATAATAATAAACAAAGGCTTGACAGACCCTACCTTGAAGTGCAGGAAGGTGCGTCTGCGGTGCTCGTACCACTCGGCGTAGGTTGAAAGGCTTCTGAAAAACATCACAAGATTTCCGTGTTCTTCAACGCTGCAAAACAAGAACATGTTGTTTAACCCAGTCTTAATCAGATGTATCAATTCTACAGCGTAAAATTTGCACCTTGTTGTTCCCAATATCCCCTCTAAGCCTGCCCTCTGTCAGTGGGAAGCTGTTCCCCCTTGTCCTGTCACTCCAGGCCCTTGTCCAAAGTCCCTCTCCAGCTCTCCTGGAGCCCCTTTAGGCACTGGAAGGGTCCCCAAGGTCTCCCTGGAGCCTTCTCTTCTCCAGGTGAACACCCCCAGCTCTCCCAGCCTGGCTCCACAGCAGAGGGGCTCCAGCCCTCAGAGTATTTTCATGGTGCTCCTCTGGATACACCCCCACAGATCCGTGTCCTTCTTACGTTGTAGGAAGAGGGAAAAAGGAGAGTTAAATACAAAATACTTATTTCTCAATAATATTTTTTCAGGTTTCTGTTAATGTAAGGATCAGGATGGAGAAAGGAAGAGAGACAATAAATATAAGGTGATGGAGCTGTCAGACAGCCAACCATCCATTCGGTGTTGAGGAATAACACTCAAAGTGTGCGCAGTTCTTACTGAAGAAGTGTGGCAGGGATGTAAAGGATACAAAATTCCACAAAAACTACATGCCAGAATACCTGCAGCAACATATTTAACCATAAGGGTGAACAGCTGCATGTCAGTGCTGATATCAAGCCACAGTCAAATGCAGCAGACTATTAACCACTGTCAAAACACACCTGGGCAAGCACTGCTTGGAAAAGACAAAGATTTATTTCAATTTCTGATACAGGATTTGACAAGTTTACAAAACCTGACTGAGGAAAATCCCTGACTGACATCTGGGAATAGTTCAAGAAGTGACACAGCGTTTAAATTCTAAATGTAAATTTGCCTTTTAACATCTTTTCTGCTTGAGATTAGCTGTTCTTTATTTCAGAATAGCTGAGAGCAGAAGCTTGAGGCATTCATAGGATGGTTGCAACAGTGCATTGCCAAGTCACTTCAGCCATTCCAGGGAAAACTGTGCCTCAGATCCAGCTCTAATATACAGGGACAGCAACCTTTAACATGTTACACAAACATACTGAAAAATGAGACATCGGGGTCATTCAGATATTGAAAATGCAAAAGAAAAGCCAAACAAGTTTTATCCCAGCTTGGAAAGAACAGCATCAGTAAAGGAAGTTACCACAGCAGTCAGAGCTGCCAACAAATCCAGGCCAAGGTGAAAAAAAAACCCGCTGGCAATACCAGGAAAACTGAGTGCCTGGAAGAACAGCCACACTGGTTCACAGGAGCTCATCAGCCCTGTTCTGGGAAGCTGTTTTTAACCACAACTCGTAATTGCACATCTCCAACTCTCCACATCCTACAGCAACAACGGAGACCCTGCAATGACTGCCCCCCTCTCCCTGCCCAGGGATACAACTCCACACACAACCTGCACTGAGCTCTCCAAACCTGCCACACAAAACTGGGGTAAAAAGCTACAGCCCTAAAGTGCTTTTTAAAAAAGTCTGGTAATTTTTCTGAATATCTATTTTTTTATGCAGTTCAACAGGCTACCATAAACCTTGTGGCCTCGTTTTGGCATCACATCTTTGTTTCTTTTTTTTTTTGCCCTGAAATTAATTTTTAGGTAATGAAGCAGGTGGAGATTTTCAAGCAGAAAGCACTAGTTTTGGCTACAAGCTCAAAGAACCTGTTTCAAAGATAAAAGTCAACCAATTATATCTGAGTAGGTACTTGTCTCATATAGCATTGGTGAAATTCAAGATTTAGTTCAGTTAACTGTCTCCCAGTACTTAAACTACCCATAAACAATAATTCCTAACTAGCCTAAGTTAGCCTAATTTCTCATGCTGAAGTGAACTACAACAACTGCTAAAAAAAAAAAAAAAAAAAAAAAATGACCAACAATAGTTTTCTTACATGTCGTGGTTCTCAAAAATAAAGTATAACATAAGTGATAGCTGGTGCAAAGGGGACACAAGTAAAATCCAAAAATAGACAACTAAACATTGTGATTCCATTTGCATACATCTCTTATTGCCACAAAAATTTTTAAAGAAATTACGTAAAAATAAAAGATGTGCCATTTTTATATATAGATGTACCATTTCTATATTGCAGTAGTACTGGTCGAGACCAGACTGCTGAATTTTACTTCCTTTAAGAGGTGTTCTTAGCATTCCCCTGTTTTCTTCCAAAGCAGGAAGGGCCTGGGAATTACAACAGGGCTCTTAAAGACCCTATTCTGTCATGCATTATGAAAAAAAAGTGAAGCCAAAAAAAATTAGAAAAACGAGGAGGAAAAAAATTCAGGCCAGGAGACAAAACAGAACAGAGCTAGACAATGGATTTGGCAAGACAGGGCCGAGGAAGCAAAAGAAGAAAACAAAAGTGGGAGGGAGGCTGAAAAGAAGGAACAATAGAGAGGAAGACCAGAGTTAGCTGGTTGAGAATGGAGGGAAAGAGAGGGAAGAGGTAGGAAGTGAGATTCCAAGAGCAGCTGGTGGACTGGAGAACAAAGAGTGAGCTGGGAAAAGCCTGAAACTGGACTGGAGGGGATTACAACTGAGAGGAACGAGAACAAGGGGAGTGAGAGAACAGCCATAAAGGCAGAACCAGTCCATGGAACAGTGGGCTGCTGTCAAAACAGGCCCTGTCAGCATCAGCCCCATCTATTTACTGCCCCAGATTGGCAACAGACACTGTGACGTTGCAGGACAAGTCAAACAGGAAAACTGAAAGCTGAAGGTGTCGTGGGGGGACAAGGTTGGGTCACCCCCCACCCTCCAGCTCCTTTTTCAACCAAATGATCCCATGGCTTCAAGAGTTGACAGACACAAGGTCGAGGGATGGGACGTGCAAGGAGAGGCTCAGGAGAAAGCACTGCTTGATTTACTGACATCTTTCATCCCTCCTGGAAATTGTGTGCCCTCATGAATGCTGGTGCAGTGTGGAAAAGGACCAGGGTAGTGAAGAGACAGGGACAAGACAGCAGGGCTCCAACCAGGATGAAGTCAAGTCTGCCACCACTTCAACACATTCCTTCCCAGTGTGACTGTTAAGTTCCAATACACTCCTGCTGTCACAAAAAACTCATGAATAAAACAGGGCAATTTCCTCTTCTAAATCCCTGAGAGCAATCAGCTACTCTTCTCAGTTACACCACCACCTTTAGTAGGTTTATATGGAAATTTCCAAGCCTCTGAGTTAAAAAATATTCAGTTTTCAGAACAGACTACTGAAACCTGAGGTAACTCAACATCTTTTAGCCTTCCCTCTCCCTCCTCAAAAAATAACATAAACCAAAAGAAATCACTTAAAGAACAGGATTAAGTCAATTACCCAGTAATAACAGATTTGTTCCCAGAACAGCCTGCTAGCAGAATTCAGTGGAATATACTGCACACAAATAACTTGATCATTAATCACGTTACCACAAGAAGTTGATATACTCCAGAATAAAAAAATAACATTCATTCATAAACCTAAGTTTTAGTGTGTCAATTTTCTTTAGTCATTGCACAAATAATCTATTCCAGGTTTTTAAACTACATTCTATTGTTTTCAAACATCAGCGAAATAAATCCTGATACAAAGAGAAATGGAATGGGGAGCTGAGAGAACCAGAAACAGGCAAATACTAGAGAGGGGTTCTGGATGGGCACTTTATTACTCACCCACACTGCACACCTGCAGCTCACATGCATTAAAATGCAATAGCTGAGATTACCTTGTTGTACCTTTCCCTGAACCAAAGAATTTCAAACAGCTATAAAACACATTATAACCCAAGAACTCTTTCTGTTTAATATGAATTTAAAATCCTTTCAGGTCTTAAAAATGACATGGATTTCATCTTCTCTCCAGGATACAGACAAAGGACTGGAAGGGTTCAGGTTGGGCTAAGGGTGCCCAGCACAGCAAAGACACAAATTTACAGGAAAACTCAATACTGCATTTAATATCCCACATCCCACACAAGGACTTCCCTTGAGCAAACAATTCCAGCTTACCTTGACACAAACTTGCTCACACCAGAATCTTCTCCACATTCCATTATAATGTTGAGATCGGTGACAACAGAAGACACCTTCTCTTTGCTCTAGATTGGAGAAGTGACAATGCACTATTTTAGAAATTCCTCTAGCAAGGAGTAAAATATAGATGTCTAGTTGGATATAAAATTTTTTCTTTTTTCTAAGTGCTATAATTCTTAAAATAGCATTTTTTTAACTACAGCTTGCATGTGTGGACAGTTTCCTTCACGTCAACAGTAGTATTATCCACACAACAATGCTTTTGGAATAACATCTTAACTTGCCAGCATAGACAAAATAAAGGTATATAAAACAACGTTCATCTACTTCCTTTAATGTCAAGTCCACTTCTTTAAGATTCTTCTCATTTTCCAACACAGTCCCTAGTTGCCACATATAACAGAAAAATCAAATATAAGATTTGATCTATTATTTTTCCTTTTTTTTTCATTATTTTATTTTAAAGCCTATAGTTTTGCCTCAAATTCCTGTCCCTTTTTACAATAATAACTGCTGCTCAGGAATGTGTGCATGATAATAAAAACAAAATTATTCTAAATTAAAAATATCTAACAACCTGTTAAAAAGGAGAAAAGAAGGTCAGAGAGTAGAAAGAAAGCCACAAATTAAGTCAGTGCTGTTTTTCTGTGCATCCTTGAACACACCAAAGTAATGGATTAGGTAACAGTGAATGAAAAAGCTTAAAAATCAGGGTTTGAAGAACACAAGAAATGCTTCATTTGAAATTGGAGACTTGGTACTTGATTTTTCTTGTACCCAGTCACTACGAGCAAATGGGAATGGCAACAGGGGGAGCCAGCCACGCTGGAGTTAAACGCACACACAGCTCAGCAATCTGCACTGGCTGGACAGCAGCTGCCAACACTGCCAGCACTAAAGAGGGGAAAACCAAACCAGGGCACTACAGAGATTAGTGGATTGACTCAGTGACACCAGGGAAAATCATTTTAGGGTCAGAGCAGAAGGTTCACCACGTGCCTGGAGCGGCAGAGGAGCTGCCAGCACCACCAGCTGAGGCGCTGCCTGCGGGAGGAACTGGTTTCTCAAGGAGTGGGTCACTAACACACCCCAAAACGCCACCTCGAGGCCAAACAAAAAGATTTAAAAGGAAAGCTCTTGCCAGGAAAGCGACTCTTCCTGAAGGATTGCTTTCTCAAGAGGCTTAGACTTGTTCTGGCACGTTTTCAAGCTCGTTGTATATCTCTTCTCCTAATCCTATGGAGCTGAGTTAACTGTATTGTAACTTCACTACCAGAACAAACAGCTACAGGTAACAGTGTGAAAAAACAAAAAACTGTTCATGACTTTCTGCTGCAAACCAAGGTACCTGATACCTGCTGGGCATTTCCCAAAAACAGCTGCCACCAGCTGTTTGAAACAGCAAGTGCACTTCTTGACTTGGCTATGTAACACCAAAAATAAACCCCAAAACTTGTGTATTATGGTCCAGTTAAAAACTGTACTCTTCACTGGTGTCTGCTCAAACAATTTACCATTTTCCACCACATCTCCATCACCCACACCACACAAATGCACAAAAACAGTGGCAATCCAAACTTCAGGTGAACTGACACGGTTTAACATGCAACGCAGATGGTGTAAATTAGAGCTGGCCACGTACTTGTACAAGAGAAAAATAATTCATCAAGAAAATGATCTTAAAATTACACTTTTTCAAGTGGGTTTTAAAAAAATTTCTGTTGACCGGGTGTTCCTTATCTCCCTGTGGTGACCTCAGCGCTCGTGCAGCCCAAACTGCGGCCATCAGGCAGCCAAGTGGTGCCACACAGCGGTGCAATGGTTTTAAACATCACATAACAAGGCAGTTTATTGTCAGTCCAACCAAATTCAAATGACATTTGTCCATTTGAAGTTTTGTTTGTTTGGTAGTTACCCTTTTTTTTTTTTTTTTCAAACATACATTCATCCTTACCTGCATTTCTTGAAGCTGGAATTCCAGTTGAAAAGACAGGGAGTGACAATTCCCGGACAACCTGTGCTTCTGCACTGTTCTGTCTCTAGCTGTTACGAAACAGAAGTTAACAAAATATTCCATTAAAATTCTACTCAACTATTACTGCATTTCTTCCCTCAGTCATATTTAAAGTACCAACTGATACCAGCCATCATTTAAGAATTAAACCTGTTTAAAGAAACACAACAGGTTTCCCAGTTGTCTGTCACTTTCCCACTATGCAAAGCACAATATTTACTCAAACTGTTTTGTGAATAAAGAAAATCTCATTGTATTTCAAAATAATTGTCTCTCTGCTAACACTGGAAGTAGAATTACAACACAGGTTTGCAGATGTAATGAACTGCACCAATGCTCTCAGTACAGAAAAGGGCACCAAACTCCTTACTTTTTTCCACTGTTTTCTTGGAATGACTTGTGAACTGCAAACCAGTAAGTTTCATCAAAAAGGACAGATCTGCTTCTAGACTTTCAAGCTGAGCTTTCAGGTCTGATGGAGATCGAAGTCCCTGGGATTCTCCCTGTGTTTCTCTTTGGAATGATTTCCTAGAATGGAAAAAGGAAAAAAACAAATCAAAAGGGCAAAAGAGCTGGACATGAGAACATGTTTTGTCACATCAGTACAAGCAATATAATAAAATAATATAATAAATATAATAAAAATAAGAGGCAACTGAAATGTGATCTGATGGTGTCCAGACCACGATCAGTTTTCAAGGAGTCAAATCTCAGTTGGATTATATTGCTGGGAACAGCAAACTATTCAGATTTACATAAACACTTCCTCTGCCCTGCCAGGTAGGCACAGCCTTTATTACAAATCTGGAGGTGCAAGTGTCCCTTTCAAGGAACATCCAACAAAAATGAGCTGAGATGCCTTTACTCATCTAAATGACTTATTTTATCCATGGATTATACATTTACTATTTAAATATCAGTTAAGTAATGGAATTTAAAAGCCACAAGTGGCACTTCTTTAGCACGTAACGAGTCACACCTCTATCTTTCCCCCCCACCCTTTTTCCCAAATAAACACACCCTGAGCTGGTTCACAGGGCACAATGGAAATGTGGCCTTTGCAGTCAACAGCTCTGCAGGGCCCACACAGTAACATCCCTGACATCGTGCTCTGACTGCTTTTTAAAGGACAAAGAAAGCAAAAACCTAGAAATCCGCAAACCACCAACAGAAGGCAGCAAAAATAGATAAAATATTTATTATTTGCTTTTTTTTCCCCTATATAGCCCGTTTTCTAAACAAAATCAGCGCTGTAAAAATAAGGGAAGTCCTAACACAGAGGCAAAAGCTTATCCCAAACGATTCTGGCAAAGAAGCACTATTAATGCAATGTGTGAAAAAAGGCATACATTGACTTCAATATCTCCTCCTCAGAAAAAAAGGTGGATTCTTGCTGGATATCTTCATACTTTTCTGTCAGTAGTTTTATTTCTTCTTCCAGTGCCTGGATTTCATCTTCATAACCCTGACAAACGTTGTCGTCCATTTCTCAGAATCAGCGTTACTCCACAAAACAAAATAACTATCCTTCTCAGGAACAAACATACAAACAAACACAGAATTAATTTTTTTAAAACTCAAATGTAACATTAGGCGATTGTTCCTCCTACCCCTCTACTTAAAATGAGACAAATTAATTAGACATCATAATTTCTGAAAACTGCAAAACTGGTCCATGCAGGTTTTAAAGATGCCAGGTAGCTCTGACACCTACAGTAATTTATACCTCCAGAAAGAACTCTGTTTGCTATGGAAGATTAAACTAATATTTGAACCTTGATCCTTAGGAACCAACTCAGCTAAAAGCATCAGCAACAGGAAAAATCGTCCCTTTGGCTCCCAGGAATCGGCAGGGACGTGACAAAGAATACATCTCTGACTTTACACAGGTAAAAAAAAAAAAAAAAAAAAAAAAAAAGAGAGTTTTCTTCAAAACAGATGTTAGTTTTGAAAAAAAAAATTGTGATTCTGTTGCATTGATTCCTCAAAGAATTAATGAATTGAATACAATCAAAGCCAAAATAATTTTAAGGCACAGATCACTGCACAGCCTGCGAAGACAAAGTTAAATTAGGAAGCTAACGAGGTGAAAGGCTTTAAGGATCTTTTTAACTAACCATGACTTGATCCAGGAGCAGATGCAGCTGGTTTATTTTTGCTGCTCTACAGGTAAAACCCAGTCCTAATCAGATCTAAAAACGGGATGCAGCTGTGACCGAGTCACCCAACACTGAAGAGTGAGACGAGGCACAGCTGTCCCTGACACGGCAGCACCACCTGCCTTTGATTAAACACCGGCAAAGAGGCACAAACTGCAACCACGTTTCACAAATAATTCAAAATAAATAAACCTCAATTTCCAGGGAAAATAATAACAATAATAACAATAATAATAATCTGACATCGAGCCCAGACCTGACACGTTCAGAGGACTGCAGAGGATATTATGCAGCTCAACACTGATGTATTAATATTTTCAACCAGGAAAAAAACCCACAAGTTGACTTCGTGTGTTTTTATACCATCCCTAATGTACCTGCAAGATCCACACTAAAGTTGTTCAATAAAAAGGGACGAGGGGGGAACAGGACTTTGTTTGTTTGTTTATTTCGTAAGATACACCATCTGAGTAAGACTTAAGAGAAAATAACATTAAAAAATGTTTTGCACTAAAAACTCAGTGAGTAAAGAAAAATGGAATTAAAGAATTGCCAAGACTGTACCTAATCACGACTGACTCTGACATTTTGAAGCAACTTTATGCATTAAATGACAACATACAAGAAACAGAAGTTCTCAACTTTTAACGCACCCTGCTCCTTTTGAGGATTTTTTTTTTTTTTAAACTGGATAGAGTGAGGAAAGTTCTGGTGGTAATAAAGAGCATGGTAGGAAAAAAGAAAAACCTTCCAGCAGCCAGAACTGTGCCCCAGGTTTGCCGACCCCTCTTTCGCAGCAGTAACGGGACACACAAAGTGCCTTCCAGCTCCTTCGACCCGAGGCTTTCTCCGCACTGCAGAAGACTCAAAGCCTTGCTAGGACCTCAAAGAGCGCTAACTCCAAAAAACAAACACCCGTGAATCAATTATTCTTAATTAAACAAAGACTTCTACAAGCAGGCAAGCGCCTCTCCTCGCCCTAAACGTGCGGATATATCGCATACGCGCGTGTATTTCTGCGTGCTCATGCACTGACAGCGCGTGTTCCACATTCCCACGTACCTGCCCGGCTCCGGGCGGGGCCAGCGGGACCCGGCACTCCGGGAGAGGAGGGAGGAGGAGTCGGGATCGGATGGGATCGGATGGGATCGGATGGGATCGGGATCGGATCGGACCCGAGCCCGGCCGTGAGGGAGGGCGGAGCGCTCGGACCCGCCGCGCCTTTCGAACCGCGCGCCCGGGGCGCTACCACAGCTGCTGCCCCAGCGGGGGGGGAGCGCGAGCACTGGCCGCGCCTTCCTCCCTGCTCCTTCTGAAAGGACAGAGCAGCTGGAGAGCCAGTTCCAGAGTTCCGTGTTAGAGACGAAAGGGAAAAGCGTTACTCTGAGGGCAGCTCGCTGGTTTGTGTTAATTTCCGCTCGCGTGTTTGCGGAAAGCACCCCCCGGCTTTCCCTCCCGCTTGGTTACGCCCCAAGCGCTCGCTGTTAAAGGGCCCAGCCCACGTGTCCCCAGCACAAGGCGGCCGGCCGGGAACGTGAACCGCTCGGAGCGCGGCTGCACAAGGAGGCGGAACCCTTTTGTGCCGCGTGAGGGCCGGGAAGGGGAGCCGGGGGGAAGGAGAATGGCGCGGCGCCGCGGGGAGCGCACATGGCGGCGGTGAGGGCAGAGCGGGGGAGCCGGAGGGACCTTGCCGGGACCGGGACCTCGTGGATTTCGGGGGGATGATTTGTCCCTAATTTGTCGCCCTGGTCGTGTTAACCTCGCAGTGTCGCTGAGCTGCTCTTGTCTCCCTGCAGGAAAGCAGAGCGTGCGGATACTCTGATTTCTCGGCATGGACGAGGAGCGGGTTTCCAAACGTTTGTACGTGGGGGGGCTCGGCCACACGGTGTCCAAGGCTGAGCTGGAAGAAAGGTTTGGAAAGTTCGGGCGTGTTTTGGATGCGGAGATTATTACCAGAAAAGATGATCAGGGTAATGGTTTTACTTCATCCTTTGTAAGTTCGTTGCTTTTCGCTTTGAAGCGTGAAGTAGAATATTTGCCCCAGAGGCACTTGAATATTCAGGAAATAGCGTCATTTTCAGTGTTAAAGGGAACAGTGAAATGACCTGAAATTAACTGGATGTTTCTCATTGATCAGGGAACCCCATGAAGACTTTTGCTTATGTCAGTGTCAGCATTTCTGATGCAGATCTTAGGAAGTGTGAGTACATCTTTTTATTTTTCACTTATTTATGTTTTGGAGCCAAGTTGCATTACTGATAACGCATCTACTGTTGTCACAGCAGGGCATGGTCAAGGCAGAGCTTGTTTCAGTCTGTTGTTTTACTAATTCCACTTTTAAGCTGCAGTTTCATGGATGCCTTTCAGGTACAACCTTTAACCAGGTGAGCAGTGAGGTGTAAGACCCCACTGAAGAAACCTCAGCCTGGCACAGAAGGAGGTGAAGTCTGGGCTGTGCTTTTTTTAATGTAGCAAATACTCATCTCCCATCTCTTTGCTTTGCAGGCATGTCAGTTCTAAATAAAACAAAATGGAAAGGGGGGACGCTGCAAATTGAGCTGGCCAAAGAGAGCTTTTTGCACAGGTAAAAAAATGCCAGGCTTTAAAAATATATATTATTGCTCAGCCTTTTGCTGTTTATCTGTTAATATCACGATAGCAACATTACATGTTATCTTCTGCACTCCTGTGCTTTCAGTTCTGATGGGCCCTGGTGGAGGTGTTGGTGCACATTTGGTGCTGGATCGTGATTTAGATCCTCGTTCCCTTCGAGGGAATGCCAATTCCTTGAGCAGTGAGGGGTTGCTGTGCTGTGGGAGGGGGTCCCTGCCAGCTCTAGTTTAGCCCGTGGGCTTTGGCACAGCCCTTCTTCTCAGGCAGGGTGCACTTTTTGGTGCAGGCTTGCCACGGAGAGGGAGGAAGCAAAGCTGCAGAAAGAAAAGCCACAGAGGAACAACCAGGCCTGTCTGCTGGAATCGCTGAAGAAGACTGGAGTTGTGGACTTCCACATGAAGGCAGTGCCAGGTACAGAGGTGCCAGAGCACAAGGTATGGTGGGGTAGAAGGGTAAGAGGGTTAAACCAGCAGAAAGCAAGCCCAGTGCATCTAAATTTATGCCAAATCTTTATGCCTTGTGTAAAGAAAATTATTAAGGGTGACAGTCCAAGCTGTGAAAAAAATAGGCTGAAGAAATACCTCATGTGGAGACAAGGAGAAGGCTCCTGTCCTTCTTTGTAATGGCTGGAAATAATCCTGATCCCACTCTCCTCTCTTCTCATGTTAAATTAGGAAGTGCTTTGTTCCTCAGGTATCTGTGGAATTTACATAAGTAGATAACATAATATACATTCATGTCACCCTTAAAAGCTTGTAAAGAGAATATGTGATTTATTTTTCTACAGCATTTAATTATTTTGATGGCAGGGCTGTCAGGAACTACTCTCTGTGCTTCAGCACGTTCAGGGTCAGGGTCTGCACATGCTTGCAAGAGTAAGAATAAAACCACTGAATGTGCAAATTAAGGCAAGAAAAACTACATTTACTACAAAGTTTTCAAAATTATTTGCTAAGCACAGAGTTGTTTTGGAGGGATTTTGGGGTTTTAGTGGGAAAGGGGAAGAGAGCAAAATAATAGTGATTCTGTCTGTGTAGTTACCACTGTTAATTCTTAAACCAGAAGCCATATGTTAGAAATAGTAGCTGTAAAGAAAGTTACTTCTTTATTATCACTCTCTATTTGCAGGTTGTAGAAATTTGGTTTTTTGGTAGGTTTTGGTTTTTCTTTTTGAGAAGGAAGCTGGCTGAGGTGCACAGTATGATTATATCTCACTTAGCAGAGTAGACAGAAGAGAATTGGTCACAGGTCTTTCTATATTAGTGGTTTTGTTATCCGAGAATAAACATCTTATTCTATTGCAGGGTTACTTCCACTCTTTTTTTGTTTAACACTGATTATTTTTCTTTATTTTCAGAAGTGGGTTGTTGGTAAATTCGGCAGAGTCTTGCCTGTTCTGCACCTCAGGAATCAGCAAAAAAATAAAATATCCTTTTGCTATTGTTTGGGCCCAGGCACAATTCCCTTCCTTCTTTTGTCATATGGAGAAACAGTTGCTGAACAGTCTGAATTTTGACTGCTATGTCAGACTTCATTTACTGAATCCCCCAAGTAACTCTTGCAGTAATCTGTGTGGTTTGGATGAGTTTCTTTCACTGCGAGTCAGTTGCTTAAAGGCATCAGATAAAAAAAAAGACTCCTTGTTGTCCTTTCACACAGAATTCCACCCGTTCCTAAAGACTTGACTCTGCTTGCTGGAGGGATCCTGTTGTTTTGCTGCCTTAACTCAGCCCCACATTGTGAAATACGACCCCTCCAAGTACTGCCATAACCTGAGGAAGCTGGAGCCAGACCTGGCACAGGCAGCTCCCGTGTCCGAGCTCACCTGGCACTTGGAAGGGAGAGGTGACAATGCCCACGGGAAGCGACCAGCACAGTCCCCTGGGATAAAGAAACCCCCTAAAAAACTGAGGCAGCTGGGCAGGGAGGCCCCGAGTGGAGCAGCAGTTGTGTCCTCTGGGTGCCACCCAAACCACGCCAGCTCAGCACAGCTCGGTCCAAGAGCAAAGCCCAAAGCCAGTGATGAGCCTAAACTGCCCCCATCGAGGAGTCTGCACAGTAAAACACCAGGGAGAGGTTTATTGTCAGATCAAAGCAGTGTTAATGGAGTTGCAGCTCAGAGCAACACCAGTGGTTCTGACAGTGAGGTTGATTCTGAGGAGGAGATCAGAGCAATGGTGAAGAAAGAGACGGAAAAACAGCAAGCTAGGAATGTTGAGATGGAAAGTGACCCCTTGGAGGTTGTTGGGGATGATTTTGGATTAAAATACAACAGTCACTGGTCCTTATGCAATCCAGATGCCGTGAAGAAAGCTATCAAAGGAAGTTACAAAGAGACTATGGAACATGATAATGGTTACGATTCAGCAGATACAGATGAAATTATTGCTGAAAGTAAAACTCCAGATCCAAACGGTAGCAAAACTACAACTTCAGAAGATTCTAAACAGCTGGAGGTGAAAAATAAAGAAATATTATCTAACAAAAAAAGCAGTTTGGTAAATGACTCCTCACTGAAAACTCAAAATGTAAAAGAACAACACATTGAAAGACAGGGGAAAATTAAAAAATCCAAAACTGCTGCCTCACAGAGTTCAGCAGAGACAAGTGATAGTGAGAGCTCTTACTCAGAATCTGAGCAAGGGGAGTCTGAAATCAGTTCTGATTATGAGTCCATGATGCGAAACTGTTACCGCTTAGACCTTTCCTTAGATGACCTGAAAGCGTTGGCTGCCAAAAGCACTGGGACACCTGCAGAGGAATCAGGTGGTGCACGGAGTTCTGGTCTGTCCAGTGCTGAAGAAAATCCTAAGGGAAATGTAAATAAACCTAAACTTTCTAATTTTCACCCTGCAGTTAAAAAAAAAGGCATCTGTCCTGAAGATGTGCTGGCTGATATTTTAGCAGGGGAGGAGAACGACGGGAGCTCCAAGGGAGAAAATAATTCACGCTTGAAGTATCGGCCCTTCAGGGGAATGGGGTCCCTTTGTGTAAAAGAGGCAACTAAGGACAGCACTGGGTTAAAGAAGGGGTCTGTGGGAAGTTTAGGACTAGGAGCTTGTGCATCTTATTTTGGGGAGGAGTCATCTGAAAGACAGCCCAGGAACCATCCACTGTGTTCACCTGAAGTCAGCAGTAAAGAGAGACAAAACGTGCCTTGTGAGCAGCACGAGGCACTGTCAGGTGCTGCCTCCTTGGCAGAGCAGAGGCACCAGCCTGTTCCCAGGCCACGTTTACAAGGGAAGAACAAAGGTGGGAACTCTCTCCAAGGCCAGAGTTCAGAGCAGGGAGCTGCCCGTGCCAGCCCTGCTCAGAGTGACAGCGGGAGCAGTGACAAGGACGCCAACGCTGCAGGGGCCCAGAAACACTTGAAACGGCAACAGAAGAGCCCAAAACTGCTTTCCAAAAAACTGAAGAGGAATGCAAGCAATAAAAATGCAGAATGTGAAGCTAATGAATGTGGGAAGGGGAAGGCTAGCCTGGAAGAGAAGGAGCTTTGTCCTCGTGCTGCTGCCTCAAAGGAACCTGCGACAGATAAACAGGTGCAGGACAACCAGAGGAGGCTGGCAGCTCTGGAGGAGAGGCACAGGGAGAGAGAACTGCAGAAGAAACTCATTCAAGGAGCTCTTTCAAATCTGGTAATTACACTCAGAGCTTCTATCTGAATAGCCCCCAGTACAAGGGAAAGGGTAAATACTACCTGTGGATTAAGATTTTTACAAAATCATGTTCTAAATTTTCTGAGACACTGCCAGTTTTGAGTTGTACAGAGCAGTGCAATGCCTAATCCCTGGAATGCCTGTAGAGCTGCAAGAGGAATAGCAGATGTCATGGAAAAGCCTTTTAGATACTTCTGTGTGACTGCAGTATTTGCTGTGTTTGACTTGCCATTTCCCCTTTCCTAGGATAGCCAGGCAGCAGGGAGGCACAAACACATCATATTCAATTCAGATGTGGAAGATGAGGCTGAAGTGGGTGAGATGTTGAAAAAAGATGGAAGTTTGGGAAATACACATGGACAAGTAAGTGTTATTAGGAAAAAAACCTGTATGACTGTGCCTTTTATTCTGAAAACTGTTTTATCATAGTGAAGGCTCAGAAAAAATTAGGTAAGTTTTGAATTAACATGAATGATTCCTCTTTTTGTAACATCAGACAGGTTTGAAAGAACTGTCCAACTGATAAAGCTTGAGAGCTTGGGGAATTTGTGAGGAGATTGAGATTTGTATAAAAGATGTTCTGACTTTAGAAGAAAAAGAATGCTTGTGTAATTAGTTTTGAAATTGCTCAGCTTTTAGTCAAAGGAAGGTGAAGAGTTTTGGCTTGAGCAGAACTACTTTGCTCTTTCCAGCACTGGACAAACAATCTGTGCTAATGCAGTACCTTGTTTTTAAAGTGATGTTGAGCTCCAAAGAAACTCTGTGGGGCTTCTTCTTTACTCTTATTTAGCAAATTCTTCAGGGTTTTACTGCCATGGTTTCAGTACAATTAAATACTTACTTTTTTTCTGGAATAGAACTTCTTGTATATCACACTTTTTAGTCACATCTCTGCTAAAACTTTAAACCACTGGGTTTGCTTTTGCTGGGTTTTTTCCTCATAAAGGTAATAAGATTGGGGCCATTCTCATTATTGAATTAACCACTGATATTTTTAAATTGATCTCCCTTGTCATAATCAGGGAGATTTTTATACTTAACTATCTCATATTGTAAAACCTGAGTTACCCTTTAGATGGGAATTCTGCCTGTGGTAAAACTTCATAGTCATGATTATAAACTAGAATGGCACAAGGTGTGTATGCAAGAAAAGATTTGAAGCACGTGGATCAGGGAGTTGGTCGTGCAGGAAATCCACTTTCTCAGGTAAACTGGAAAGCACACGAACAAAGTTGGTACTGCTTTGTACTCTGAGCTACGTAAACAGCTCATTTCTGTTGTTTTTTGTTTTTTCTTTTTGTTTAATAAAGGATAAATCTGCTCCCAGACCTTCAGGCAAACTGTTTGACAGCAGTGAGGACGAGCAGGACGAGACGGACGAGGAGCGATTCAAAATTAAGCCCCAGTTTGAAGGCAAAGCTGGGGAAAAAGTGAGTGAACCCATTGCTGGAACTGAATTCTTCTTCCTCTAAGTCTCTGTGAATTCTGTTCTTCAGAAGAACATAACTTTTAGGCTTGGATTACTGCCGATTATGATTTTTATGAAACAACAGAGTTCCCTTAAACAGAGGAAACAGCAGCCATGGAGGAAATAACGTGTGGTGTCATCTTTGTATACAAAGAAATTTCTGAAAAAGACCTCAAGAGCTAAAGGTCATTAGCATGTTACCATTAATTACAGTAAAAAAAAAAAAAAGGTTACAGAATGTTGCTGATTTCCTCCTCCAGTGCTTAAGAGCATCTCTCTCTTTTGTTCAGCTGCTGAGGCTGCAGTCCAGATTTGGCACCGACGAAAGGTTCCGCATGGACGCTCGATTCCTGGAGAGTGACAGTGAGGAGGAAGGTAAACCTGTCCAGATTTCCTGGGGGTAATAGAACCACGTCACGGAGCTTCAGCTTTTGAAGCAGCTTATGGAGTACTTTTGCTTCTCTGGTGATTCTGTAAAGGAAACAACCCAGCTCTGCTGTGGCTCTGCCTGGTAAATACCAGTGGATGGTCTTCTTAAAGGAATGTGTTGCAAAAGTATTTGTGACAGCTGAATGAGGGGTATGTGGCTGATCAATCAACTTTTGAAAATAGCTCTTAGTACAGCGTTATATCAGTTTTATGCACATGGAAAAACAGGGTAAGTGGTGACTTAGTCAAATCACCTTTTTGACCATTACATTCATTTGAACTGCTTTGTAGCCATCCTGCAGTCCATGGCAGATTTGGCAGCCTTAGAAAGGTTTATTTTTTTTCTTTAACAGCAGAAAGTAGAAATGCTGATAAAGGAAAAATTTTAACCCAGTTTTCGAGATTCACAATTTCTTTCCGAAACTTAAATTTTTGCCTGGTCTGCTACTCCCTTTATTGCTTTAATGTGATTTTTTCTAGAGCATCAGTCAGGGGCAGAGTAGTTGCACAGTTATGTGATATAAGCAGGGAACAAGTCAAATAACTGATCCAAGTTCCACATGAAATAGATACCAATGACTGTTCTAATCAAAGATTTTCTACAGTGCAAGAGACAAGGTCTCTTAGTAGCTTTAAGATAAACAAAGTGGTGTGTTGATAGATGTGAGCTCTTCTAGTCCTGTAGTGATATTATGCATCAAATATTACAGGCTTAGCAGGGAAAATATAATGTATTTATTGTTCTCTTGCAGAGACCAAGAGCTTGAAGGCAGATGAGGAAGAGGAGCTTGCTGCAGAGAAAAAGAAAAATCTGCAAATACTGGGAAGCCTCTTGAACATCAACCTGGAACAGCCTAAGCCAAATAAAACAGCCACAAGTGCCAAGAAATTCAAGTATGAATCGTCCACCATTAGCAAAGGAGTTTTAGGGAGGCTTCATTTTTGCCACTGCTTCCTAACTTAAAATTTTCCCCCAAATGGCTGAGAAAAATAATTCCTTCCCTGTGTGTATCTGAAGTCGAGATTTAATGCACTTTCTCAGTCACTGACTGGCAGGTATTTTTTAAGTGCCAGTTACATTTTGGAGGTTTTTTGGTAAAGAAGTCAATGTGAATTTGGATCCTACTGTGAAGGTTTGGGGTAGCTTTCAGTTGAGCCTTCAGGATGTCTCATGGCTTTTCCTTTCCCTTCTGTTTTCGCAGAGATATTAATGCTCTCCGTTACGATCCCACGAGAGAGGACCACGCAGTTTTTGAAAAGAAGCCAAGTGCTGCAGAAAAGGAGAGGTAATTGTGCAGCTTGGTAACTACAGTTGTGATGTTTCTCCTGTTGGAGAGATGGTTTTAGCAGCAGACTGAGTTTGAAACTATGCACACTGCTCTTGTTTTTTCTTTAGTTCTCTCTGTGATTGCTAAAATCAAGATGCAATAGGAATTGTGAGCACTAAACTCAGCATGTAATGTCATCTTTTCTCTGCATGCCATTTACTGTCCTCACTGAAGGTGAGAAAGGTCAAGTCATGGACTTGAAGATTTACGAATCTGTGAGAGAAGCATATTAGCTCTTAACATTTCTCTTGCCAGAAAAAAACTGTCCTAAACGTCATCATTTAGTATCCTACTAAGTGAAAAGCCACTTAAGGATGTGGGTCATTAAAAAGGAGGCTTGTTCCTGCCTTTAGAATCAAACCTCAGATCTTTCCCTCCCCACTGCTTACCCCTAAAAGTGATCTCCTCATCAATGTGCTTGGAGAAGTTTAGGAAAACATTAAGAGCAAGGCAGGCTCTTAGGGAATCTTTCTTTTAAAAACAGATGTGTTGTGTTGCCACCTTTGAACTATCTCATTTCAGTAAAGTTAAAAGGAAGAAGAAGAAGGAGGAGAGTGAGAAACCACCTCAAGTGTCTGAGAAAATCTATTATGACATTGCTGCTGATTTAAAAGACTTGTTTGGATTCTCAAAGAACAAATCAGAAAAAAAGGAGGAAATACCCTGGGACAAAGATGATGCAGAGGACTCTGCCTCACCTGACCATTTGGGACCTGCATGTGGGAGTGATGCAGCTGAGGAGCTGGGTGGCTTCAAGTTTTCCTTCTTTGGAGACACAGAGAAGTCGAGCGTCAAGGAAGGTAAGAGCGGAACAGACCCAACAGCACCACTTGCAGTGGATCAGTTTTGTCAGGCACTGCAGAGGAATATGGGGCACAGAAATTCCAAATCTGGGGGGTTTTCAGAGGCACAAGTCAGTAATGAGGCAGAATCAGTATGATCCCCTCTTACACTTGCCAAACTGCACGTTGAGCTTTCATCCTGGGAATCCTGAAAGGAGTGTTTGGAGAAAAAACACGATGATTTTATTGGTTCTTTGAACAGTGAGGGAAGAGCTTGTTGTCATCCACTAAAGTTTTCAAACAGGGGAAAAGGTAATCTACAAGTCAAATAAAGCTCTGTGTAACCCAACAAGATTTTAAATGCCACGTGTGTTAATGTAGCATTAGGAGCAAAAGGCAGTCTTAGGGTTGACCCCGAGAACATTCCAGAACAGTTTATTGTTTACTTAATGTTATTATTGTACCTTTAGAAAGTTGAAACTGAGTGAGATGTGATTATTGGGGTGTCCTAAACTAAGATCAAATTGTTATGCAATCAAGATTAAATCAAGTGAGTTAGTAAGGTAGGAAATATATTAAACACCCCGCCCCCCCAAAAAAAACCAAGCCCGTCACATTTCTGCTGCCTTCAGTGTCTTCAGAATGCAGTAGAAAGGTTTCAGAATACATAAGAGATCCCTAGAACAAAGTAGAAAATACCTGAGCAGAGATGTAGTTCAAAAAACCTGGGAGGGGAGGTTTCTGTCCTCCTTAAATCTGCCTTTTCCTTCTTGGAAGTAGGAATTTTTACTGGCAAGTAGAGGAATAATCTGATTTTTTTTTTTTAAATTGTAATATTATTGCAGAGCCCTACGTACTTGAAACAATAAAACCTGTAAAAGTCACATGGCAAGAAGATCCACGTTTCCAGGACAGCAGTTCTGAGGGTGATGATGAACCAGAGGCATCAGAAGTCGAAAAGGACCAAGAAATGCAAGTTATAGTTGTATTTGTTGTCTACTTGGTTTTAGTACTTGGATGCTGTGAGAATGTTAATAGCAGCAGTCAGGTTATGGGAAACTGAGATGTTCATTTCACACCTCTGAGCAGTGGAAGTTGTCTTGGGACAAATTCCTTGCTGCACAGAGTACAATGGTCAAAAATCCCACCAGCCCATCTGATGTGACATTGAGTTTCTGGTTGAACACTTCAGGAATTAACTGGTTGATTTTGGTTTGACCCAGACCAATTTTGGTTTGGCTAAAACTCAAAGATGTACTAAGTTTTGTTTTAAAAAATGTGTGTGTTTTTTTTTGTTTTGTTTTGTTTGTTTGTGTGTGTTTGGTTGGTTGGTTGGTTTTTTGGTGTGGTTTTTTTTGGTTTTTTTGGTTTTTTGGTTTTTTTTTGTTAATAGCCTTATTTGGTTACTGTGGAGTAATGCTCTTCCATGCATTCTCTTTCTCTGAAGCTTTAACTTGTGTTAATGGAATTTGACAGTAACTTTTGTGATGGTAAAATTCCCCTGTGTTTGTCCAGGTTTATTTCTTTACCGCACAGAGAAAGTACAAGATTTTTCTTCTTCTCCAAAGATGATGAACGACTGAGAGGTACAACAGAACTTACTCACTTTCACTCCTCTTCTTTTTTTTTTTTTTTTTTTTTAACTCATACTGAATATCAGTGAGGAAAAAATACTGCCTGGTTATTTGTTTTGTAACACAGATCAGAGGTTTAAGAAAAAAAAAAAAATGCAGATTTCCACCATTACTTGTGGTCTGAACTGTGGTAGAATGCCATGAGAAAGTCCTGGTAGAATAAATGCTGAATATCTGTCTTGCTTTCCCTTTTTTTCAGATAATTGCCTAATATGTGGCTGGTCTTTCAGGGCTTACCAAAAAAAAAAAAAAAAAAAAAAAAATCACTTGACAAGTTATCTGGACATTTTGGATCCTTTCAGGCACATATATGATCTTTAACTTTCTTCTGTCTTTCTGGTGTTACTGTTAGGAATGCTGAATATTCTCATTAGCCTCATATGCCCACGTGGTTCTCAAGGCTAATTAATCTGGTTTTTTTTTTTTCGTATGGTTATAGTGAGTTTTTTATTTAAAACCAAACACAACATCACACCCCCCAAAAAAATTCCATGGACCACAAAAACAATTGCTTGTGATGTTTTATGCACTAAATTATCAGGACAGCCTTCAATAATATTTGTTTCTTGAGATTATGAATGATATGAAGAACATGGAGAATAGACCTTCTGACTTCCCTGCTGTGTTGCTCATGAGTTTTACAAATAGCAGCATATTCCGAAGTGTTTAACCACATTAATTTGTTCTTTGTGCAGAGGGCCCCAAGTTATTTTGTAGATCAGTAGATCTCAGTGAAGAAAAAGATGGTTGGGAAGACAGACGTAGATTATTGCTTGAGGTGAGTATTTAACAGCTGTGGCTGAAAGCTGAGCATGAAGAGGGAATAAGGCTCCTTATTTTGCATGAAAAATTAATTCAGAACCTCTAGAAAGGCTTGACATTTTGTAATTACAAAGGAACTAAACTTTTTCAGTATAGAAGTGTGTATAACACCATGTTAGGATGTCCAGTCAGGTAAATTACTGAATCTTTGTTGTACAGGACCAGTTACTTAACTGTATGTTAAAAATGTGTGTGAGACAAATAGGTGAATTCAGAGACTTATATTATTCATTATTATTTTATTCATAATATTGTATTTTAAACATTTTCAGGAATGTCGGAAGAAGCACAAGGATGCCAAAAGGAAAGTGAAAGCGAAACAATAAATATTTTTTACTTTACTGATCAGAAATGTTGCATCTTTGTTTCATCTTTGAAGAAGCTACAAAACAGTGTTACTTTCAAAATACTTTCAGAAATCTAATAGAAAATAATAATTTTGGCAAAAAACTACTCAGACTTTGTTTCTACATAGGAACATGTTTATTCTGTCAGTTCAGTGTTTATACCAAGGTCTGGGGTTTTGTATATGTGTGTACATGTATATATAAAAATATAAATATGGTTTAAATGTGACTTGCTGCTTTCTAGGATTTTTGATAATTAGATCATGTAACAAAGGCATTCTGCTGTGTCCTGTGGCCCCAGTGCTGAACAGGGATGAGAGAGAGCAGATAGCTCTGTGTCTGTAAGACTGTATAAATTGTATTCTTCCTAATACAACAGAGATTATATTTCAGATTCCTTTACAAATATTCAGAATGTGGTATTTGCAGGGTCAAAGTGTCTCAGAAGTTAATGAAAAGACATACATAACAGGGCAGACTTATGAAATGGATAATTTGTTTACAGAGCTGATTTTTTACTTTTTTACTGAGTTTGTATATTAATAAATAGAGAGGACAGGTGTTGTATTCTTGGTATTGAATGAATATTTATATGTTATGTCCACCTAGACCCTATGCTGCATGGGGTCTGCTGGAGCAGGCAGGCTCTGCCAAACCCACTCTGGGCACCCCTGCCAGGCTGAGGGGCACCAGGGTGCTTTACCTCTTAACCTATGCCCAGACCAGAAATTTTAAGAGATACTAATGTGTTTAAATATAATATTAGTAATACTGTCCACACAGCAA